TGGGCATGAAGTCTACTTAAAAACAAAAAACAAAAAGGTGGAGGGGATCTTAGATGAACACCAAATTGCTAGACTGACAGCCAGCCATGGAGACATGAGTGTCATCTTCGGTTTGAGAAACACATGAGGAAGCTAGAAAATGAGAAGTCGGATCTCAGACTTTTGCAGGCACTTAACCCTTGCTGGGCCTTGCGGACATGCTGCTTGCCAAGAGCACCGTGGTGGTCAAAGAAAGCACAACCCAGAATGAAATCAGATCCGTGTGATTGGGAGGAAGGAGTTCAAAGGCCAAGGAGGCTCGCTGTCTTCATTGTCTGATTCTTCTTGCCAGCAGGTGCACGTTACAAACAGGACTGGGCCTCACCTCCACCGGCCAAGCCCCCCTGCCTGGCACCGCTGAGGGAGGAAGGGGACTTTGCCAAGGCAAGGGTCTGCCGTGCCAGGCCGACCAGCAAATGAACTTCTTGCAGTCCCTTCATCTGAATCCCCGACCGTCCACAGCTCATTCATTTAATAAATGCAAACTCAGGAGTGCCTGAGTGCCAGGCGCAGTGCCAGACATTGAGGGTACAGCGGCGAATGTGCATACACCAAGTATGCTTTTCCTCATGTGTTCTAGAAAGTGTTCATTGATGTTTTCCTGACCCTGAGAGTAATGCGTGTTGGTTTTAAAAAAAAAAAAATTAATTTAAATTGAATCACTTGATCTCCAGGGAGAAGCCCTGATGGCATTTTATGGTATTGGAAATCCTTGTGAGCCAAGGAAAAGTGGGGCTGGGGAAAAGGCCAGTTATGTGAATCTTCTTAGAATAAGATCCAAGATTTCATAGTAAAAAAAATTTTAAAGATTTGATTGGGACTTTACTTGAAAAATAAAACTAAGAGCTCCTGGGTGGCTCAGTTGGTTAAGTGTCTGACTTCGACCCAGGTCATGATCTCAGGGTTTGTGGTTGGAGCTCTGGGCTGACAGCTCGGAGCCTGGAGCCTGCTTCTGATTCTGTCTCTCTCTCTCTCTCTGCCTCTCCCCTGCTTGTGCTCTGTCTCTCTTTCTCTCAAAATTAAATAAAACATTTAAAAAAATTTTTAAAGGAAATGGAAACTAAAAATTATGGAAATAAGTTTATATTATCCTACATTTAACAGCTTTGTCGCATTGGAATTATAATGTCAAAGATATCTTAGACCCGGACAAAAGCTTATTTGCTTTATTAGCATCTTTAAAATAATTTGTTAATTTTGGAGACGAAGGAATTGAGTGCTAGGTGGGCAGCTTTTGGTGTGAACATTCCTATTATATCATAAGGTAATATTCTTTGTTTCAGATTTTGCGTTTTTCTTAGGACAGTCACAAAAGGGTCATTTTTACAATGGCATATTTTTTCCAAGGGCTTCTCTTGATCTCTTTTATTTAAATCCGTATCTTTGGAAGCATCTTAAAGTGTTGTCATCCAGGAATAATTATCAGTTAACTGATCTAACTTGGCCGGATCCAGATTTATCAGCGGCTTTCGGTGGTTTGAGCAGTTTTCCGACATCACTTTCACTGACTTCATGACAGCCCGCTTCTTTTGCATCACGGGCTTCATTTCCCTCTGCAGTGAGTTTGCACCATATTTGAATTGGGCCATCAGATGTCTACCGTGTCTGGCGATCAGGGACACAGGGAGACATTTGTTCACCGGTCTGTGAGCGCTGATCTTGCAACAATGACACAGTTGTGTTTTCTAACCTAGTCAGGGTAAGCAACGGCTGGGACATGGGAAAAAGCTAAGCGAAGGAGGTGCCTGGTGCGGAACCCTCCCACGTACCTCCTGGTGGGTGCCAGTGCCTGGCAGGAGCCGTAAGCAACCCCCAGGAGATCACGATTTTGAAACTTCACTGGGTGTCTCTGTGTCTACAGGATGCCCGCCACTACCAAGGGGGTGAACGGCTCCACAATGAGCCTGCGTTTTAGTTCTACGCTGGGCATCACGTGAAGCCAGAACACAGAGGGTGCTGAATCGCTGCCCTGATGGGCAGGGCTCGCAGCCAGGGAGGCTTTCTCTTGGTTAGTGTAGATGGAAACGAGACTGAGGAGCGTGTGTGTGTTCCCTTGCATTCCCTTTCCTCACCTGAGAGCAAGCCCTGTGCTTTCCAGTGCCGGGAGCCGCAGCTCTAGAGAGTATTGTGTGAGGTCAAGTTCACCAGAAGCAGAGCCCGAGATGGAGACTTCTGCACAAGCAGTTTATTAGGGAGTGAATGGAGTAGAACGGGGCAGAGGCCGGGACCAAACAGATGTACCGTCAGCCAGAGGCTGCTTTACCCTGATGAGTTGCACAGCAGAACTGGTCTCAGCCGGAGGCAGAGGGATAGTCTTGTGCAGGCGTGTCTGTCAGTCACGGGCCGCAGAGACCTTGTGGGGAGGGGCGTTGTAGCCCCCCCGCAAAGTGGCTCCGGTCCAGCTGGAGGCTAATTGCACCCGTGTGGTAAAGGGGTTCTGGCAAGCACCCACACCAGCCGTACAAGGAGTCACGGTGCTGGCGTGCCTCATGGCTGTGGTAGGAGAGCGGGGCAGGGAAAGGCAACCCCAGGAAGGCCAAGTGATGCATGACTCCCTTCCCGTAGCACCACCAAGGGCGCGTGAGTCACGGATCGCACACTGAGCGCTCCCAATCCTAGAGAGGTCTGTGGTTTCTGCTCTCTCTGCTTAGCCCCACCGAGATCCAAACAGAATTTTGTAATCTCTAGTAGACCGAGTGGGGTGGCAGAGAGACTTAGACTAATGCGATAAATGCTGGCTTAAAAGTTATGTTCTAGCATTTGGGGATTAACAAAAAGAAGTAAATCCAGCAACTCTTGAGTAATCAATCAAAAGCAATCTTAAACCAAAGCCAAGTAAACCAAGGGCTTCTCAAGTTCCAGAGAGAGTTTTTGAAGCCACAGCCCTTCCTTCACACCCACGCAAAAACTAAAAAGTCTTCAGGGCAATAAATCTGTATTTCAGGAACAGATAGACCTTTGACTTGAATTGAAAATCTCTCTCCTGGAGGCGCCTGGGTGGCTCAGTTGGTTAGCATCCAAGTCTTGTTTTCGGCTCAGGTCATGATCTCATGGTTTGTGGGATTGAGCGCCACATCGGGCTCTGTGCTGACATCACAGCCCGCCTGGGATTCTCTCTCCCTCTCCCTGCCCCTCCCACGCACACTCGCATGCTCTCCTGCCCACATGTGTGTGCTCTTTCTCTCACTCTCTCAAGTTGAAAGAAAGGAAGGAAGGGAGGGAGGGGGAAGAGAAGGGAAGGGAAGGGAAGGGAAGGGAAGGGAAGGGAAGGGAAGGGAAGGGAAGGAAATAAGTGAGGAAGGAAGAAAGGAAGGGAGAGGGAAGAGAAGTAGGAAGGAAAGAAAGGAAGGAAGGAAGGAAGGAAGGAAGGAAGGAAGGAAGGAAGGAAGGAAGGAAGGAAGGAAGAAAACCTCTTACCTGCTTTGAAAGGAATTTCCAGTGGGGTATTGAACTTCACAAAGGGAGTTTGGAACTAGGTTGGATAATCATGTAATCTATATATATGCCGGGACACTCTCGAGAGTAACTATACTCATGACAGATGTGCATGGGAACTGAGGCTCGACGTCACCTAGGCTTGGGCTCGCTGCCCCTGCTGCCCACAAGCTGATTAGCTAGGATTTCAAGGAGCTTCTCCTTGGGCCAGTGGGGACCCCACATCTGCAGAGAGGAATGTGAGGAAGGGGATGGTGACAAAGCCACCGCGGTGAATCATTAGGACCAATCTTGGGGACATGCAGGTCTTGAGACAGCATTTGAGAAATTATTCTCTGGTTTCCTTAGTGAAACTGCCAACACATACCCCTCTGTTCCAAGAGCAGCCCCTTGCTCTGACATCTAAATGTCTGTTTCTCTGCTGAGAGGTTTCTTCTTTCTAAGCTCTGAGCTCTTCAAGGACAGGGACCAACATCTTTCAGACCTGTGCCCTTCACACCGATCGTGGTAGGTGGTGTGCTGACCCAGCTACGCAACAGATGCTCAGGGATTTCCCTGAATCCCGGGCCACTTCCACACTATGTGCGTGAACTTAGCACCCATGAGTGTTTGGGGCCAAGATTCACAAAGTCAGCATTGGAAGCAGGACTGAGGAAGAGTGTTCCTGATGGGGGAACAACTTAAAGGTGCTCGTAGGGTGTTTGTAGAATAGTAATGTGTATGCTCGTTCCCTCGAGAAAATCAGAGTTGTGGAATGGAGAAGGAGACATGCTATAGAGGGCACCGAGAATGACGTTGGGGAAGGCACATGACCTCATTGAACTTTGGTGTCCTGGCTTCTAGACACATGGCAAATGTTAGTTCTGGGCCTTTTCCTTCTCCGAAGTCTGCAGCGTGCTGTCTCCTCTCGGAAGTCTTGCTTTGGCTTCAGTAATTTGGAGCCTGTGGGTTACGAAGAGCCTCCTGCCTTCCGCGTGTTGTAGACATGTGTCCAGAGGAGAGAAAGCAGCTCCCCATGACCCCTCTCCTGGCTTCCATGTGCCGCCATGTGTAGAGTCCAGTCCTGGTGGGCTACACAGGAAACTTCTCCTCGCTCCCGTGCCTGGGAGCACTTGCAGGGGCCGGCTCAGCCCTTACATGCCTCCTTGATGTGTGTTGTCCTTAGAGCTGGTCTTTCCAAAACTAGCAAGGCCTCGAAAGGCAGGATTAGAGTGTGGGCGTAAGAGAAGGTGTCCAGAAAGGCAACTCGGTTGTCTTTAATCCAAACCTTTGGAGGCAGCCAGCTCATGTGCAGCCCGGTCCAGTTCACCAGGAGAGCACCGGGGTTCAGAGCCGAAACATGAGTTAAGAGTGTCCTGTGCACTGCTTCCCCGGGAGCCCATGGGAAGGGCGGGCCGCCAGAGGAGGGCTGGGGACTGGGCCCAAGAAGGACCGTGTTTGCTGAAGTCTCCATCTGCCTCTCCAAGGCCACTTACACACATCTGTCCACAAAGCCAGCCCATCCATGGGTGCTTCTTCTCTTTCAGGAGGAAATGGGCATTTCCTGTGAACTGCTGGAATCGGACTTCCTCAAATGCAGCGTGGGGTTTCCTTTCATGAGGTCCAAGTCAAAGGTAAGAGGCAGATACGGGGCCCTTCCTTCGCAGGAGGCCCCCAGCCCTTCCCAGCGGTCACCTGCTCCCCCTCCCCCAGTCTTCCTCCACGGCCCTTGGAGCAATGGCCCCACCTGGCAACCTGCTCCAGGTGCATGCCGCGGGGGCCCTGGCACATGCTCTTCCTCTTGGATCCACATGATGTACCGCGAATGTGAGAGACTTACCATGGCCTTGGTACTTTAAGCACCATCCAGGTGGCCTTCCTGAAAATCTTTCTCTGGGACATTCCGTGTCGCTGTGACAGAGACAATGTAGGGGAAACGTGGTCTGGGCTAGTGACTGCCGTTCTGACTGTCACTCCCCTGGGCACTCAAAATTTTCTGAAGAGACCTCTTAAAATTCTTTTTTTTTAATATTTTTTTTATTTATTCCTAGGAGAGAGAGAGAGAGAGAGACAGAGTGAGCAGGGGAGGGTCAGAGAGAGAGTGAGATACAGACTCTGAAATAGGCTCCAGGCTCTGAGCTGGCAGTCAGCACAGAGCCTGATGCGGGGCTCGAACCCATTAACCGCGAGATCATGACCTTAGCGAAAGTCGGACGCTTAACCGACTAAGCCACCCAGGTGCCCCAAGACTTCTTAAAATTCTTAAAACATAAATAACAGTATTGCATTTTATTTTTTTAGGTAAAAGAAATTAGAGTCACTTTGGTATTTATAAGGACCCAGATTTTCTGAGCTCAAACAACAATGTGGTCATGGTCCAGTATACTCAAACATTCATGGAACATTCTGGCATATGCCAGCATGATAAGAATATGCAAAGATACGTCAAACATGTGATTTTTGGAACAAAAACTAGAATCTAATAGATCAAGTCTGCCTTTTGAAATGGAAGCTATTTTGCCAGCTGTGATTTGAAGGAAATTTCACATTTCTTCGCCAAACATTCCCCCCAACCCACCAAAAAAAAAGAAGATTTAATCCTCCATCCTGCCTATGTCACAGAATCAAACTGTTTTCATCTCCAAGGCGTGCCGGTCCCAGGGCCTGATAGCTGTCTTGCACACCATTTGCAAAACAAACGAGAAAAAGGATTTGCTTATTTCCTAGCAACTCACTCAAACCCTTCAGTCTCATTGCGTGTGCTGCTCCAACCTATAGTGGCTCTTACATCTGTGATCTCCAACCCTTCCTGCTCCGTTCCTTACTCTGTCCACGTTCATCCCAGGAGAAGGGACGAGGTGGCTGCCCTTGGAAAAAGGGTTACAAATAGTGGGCCAGACACTGGCCACGTCCCGTTAGACTACACGTGGGGGGAGGAGAAGAGGAAGACTCGAGCCCTGGACGTGATTGCCCTGTGGTCACACACGCAGCACCTCCACACACACATTTAATTGAAATATTTTCAGCTACTGAAAATGGACTTGGCTGAAAACCAGTAACCACTGCCATTTCAGCATGAAATCCAGCCTGTGTCCCAAATCACACCCAAGGTGTGCCTTGCTAGTTTTAGATTAAAGATTATTTTAAAAGGAAAATTGTATCGCTTTCATGTGCGGATCCAGGATCGCTTACCATAAAGAGAGGGTGGTTGTAAAAGTGAATGCAGTGAAAACAGAGCCACACTGAATTCGGAAGCATTAAATTTTGTCACAATTCATTAACTCTCAGAACAGTCGTGGGGCCAACAGAAGTGTGAGCGCTGGAAGCTGGATGTTTTCCCGGCTTGGTGATGCCGCCGCCTTCCTCCCTCAGATGGAGGCTCAAACCTGGGGATGGGGCGTCCGGGGTGAGTCCCGGGGAAAGCGGGGACAGGAACTGCCTCTCACTTTCCGGCGTGACCCACCCGGCTGCTCACTTTCCGGCCATGGGTTTCCAGCCCTCGTGACCAGCCTGCCGAGTCTCCGGCCTGCCGTTGTCCGCGGCCCCGGCTCTCACCTCACCCGGGTCGTTAGTGCGATGAGTTCGTCTCCCGCCAGTTCTGACTGTGCTGGGATAGGGCCCTTGGCTTTCCCGTCCGTTGTGCCCTCCAGCTCCGCCTCCCGCCCGTCTCCATGCCCCACGCTCCCTGGGAACCGGCAGCCCCTCCTGCCGCAGGAGCTCCTGCCCGAAGAGGGCCGAGCAGCGCGCCCCGTGTTTGGTGGTCCTGTGTCCGTTACCCCCAGGCAGCTTCCAGCGCGGTCGAGTCCAGTGCCCAGCATTAGTCATCAAGGAACCCAAATACTTCGCTGTTAAATAATCATAGGCTCTCAGAGCTTGCTGGAATTTAAGAATCATTTCATCCAGGGGCGCCTGGGGGGCTCAGTCGGTTAAACGTCCGACTTCAGCTCAGGTCATGATCTCGCAGTTTAGGAGTTCGAGCCCCGCATCGGGCTCTGGGATGACAGCTCAGAGCCTGGAGCCTGATCCGGATTCTGTCTGTCTGTCTGTCTCTCTCTCCTTCTCTCCCTGTCCCCTTCCTCCCTTCCTCCCTCCCCCACCACTCTCTCTCCAAATAAACTTAAAAAAATAAATAAAGTAGTCTTTAAACAAAAAGAGTGAGGCAGTGAAAGTACAAAGTAAAGGACTCAGGTGGATGATACGCAGATGTCGCAAACTTCAGGAAGATGGTGTGTGAGTGACATTTAGAAAGGCGCCTGGTTTAAGGGACAAGCACATCACTGCCAGGGAACCTGAGTTGCTGGAAAGGACAGCGTGCCTCTCACCAGACCACACTCGGGGCTTGGTTTTGTTGCTAAAGCGCATCTCTGGCCTGGCATCAGAAAGACGCACGTACAAGATAAAGCTTGTCGTGCACACGGGCTTCCCGAGGTCCTAAACTGCAGAGGACCTTAGCGCTCAAGTTCAGAACGCTTGCTAATCCCAGATGTCACCCTCTCTTCCCCTAGTACGAATTCAGCGTGATCTTTGACACCAGCCACCTGTCTGGGGAAGAGGAAGTTCTTAGCTTCACCGTTACTGCTCAGAGGTAAGGGGGTTTCATTTTTCTCTTCCAAGATGAAAGATTCATGGGACCAGGAAAGGACCTGCCCTGGCCATGCTTTGATGATGCTTAGGACGCTGAGGAGGAAGGCCCAGTTCAGTGATGAGCCCCAGGCCGCGGGTGGGACCAGACTGCTCAGGGATGGCGCTTGTCGGGTCCTGCTTACGCGGCTGCCCGGCCACACTGAGCTCCAAGTGTCTGGGGGCCACCCAGCCGGAGGGACAGCCAGGGACACACCGGGAGAGGTGAGGATTCTGGTCCGAACTCGCGTGGCTGATTAGCTCACAGACTGCCTCCGCGGGTTGTCAGACAGAGTCAGCTGCTCCTGGTGAGCCCACCAGTGCTGCAGGGGGAGAGCGCTGAGGGCCTGGCCGCGCCTGCGTCAGCGGCCCGAGACCTGCTCCTCCGGAGAGGGCTTGTCCGGGAAAGCTTGTGGGCACAGGGCGGCTCCTCCGCTCAGCAGTGCTCCCGGCCCTCCCCTCCAGCGTGCCCTGAGCCCCGAGAGGGCCTTGGGGGAGCGCCATTTGGGTGGCGCTTGGCCGTCAGCTGGGAGGGAAGGAGAGGTGTTTGGTGGGTGAGTTGGAAAAAACAAGCGTTGGTTGAGCTGTAGGGTGGATACCTTTGTGATTTGAATTTTCTTATTTTGGAAATGATTGTTTAAACCTAGTGGAAGTGTTGCAAAGTGTAACTCAAGCAGCTCCCACATACCTCTGCCCAGCATCCCCTGGCGTCCACGCTTGGCTCCTTTGCGTTGTCATTCTCTGCATACTTTTCTCCTTAACCACGTGTGAGTAGGTTGCAGAAGTCATGCCTCTTTCCCATAAGGACCTCGGTGCTCACGTCCTAAGAAGGAAGCCGTTCTCTTAAATAACCACAGGTAGTTAGCAAATTCAGGAAACTTAACCACTGATGCAATACTCTCAGCTACAGTCCGTGTGCCAGTCATCCCAGTGACCCTTCACCCCCTTTCCACCGGTCCACCGTCCCACCAGGCATCATGTCTTATCTGTAGTTGCTGTAACCTCCAAACAAACGTTCACGCCTCGAATCCTACGTCTGTCCTGGAGGTGGTCCTGAGATCTGAACCGCACGCCCTGAAGGCCAAGGTCAGGCCAGGACCGCTGAACAAGATGAGAAAACAAAACGAGGAGCCTGCACGACTCATAGAGGCCAGGAAAACGAAGGCCAGACACCGAGGGAGCAGCGAGGGCTGAGCTCATTCAGGGGAAGATGCTCGGTGGGGCCACAGGGTATTAGCACAGGGGTCCGACCCGAAGATCCGCACAGTCTGGGGTGCAGAGTGAGGCAACGGGCTCAGCTCTGTGAAACTAAACCCTGTCCCCCCCACCGGCATGATCACCTTTGACTGTGTTCAACCCAAGCCTTCCTATGAGGAGGATGCCCTCAGGAGCTGAGAAGGAGCCCCTCAGCCACGTCCCAAATTCGAGAGAATGACATTTCCCGGACTCTTCAGATGAGCCGCACTGGGGCCAGCTCAGGGGTAAGGTGCTGCATGGGAGCGCAGAGGCGCCGGCCCCCAGATTCAGCAGGGAGTCGTGCTGTGGACCAGCTGCCTCCCCCACCCACGTCGTCAGGTGGCTGCCCTGGGGACAAGGCCCAGCTGGGGCTGAGAGGTTCCTGGATGAGTCGGGGGGAGGCTGCCATCCCGAGCCAGCTCAGAAGGCTCCCGTCTAGAGATGGAGGCAGACACGCAGCTTCCTCCGGGGGGGGGGGGGAACTAGCGGGGCGCACACCTCACTCCCTCCGTCTGCAAACGTGTGGGCACTGCCCACAAGCCAGGCGCCGTGTGAGATACGGGCACGGCCCCTCCTCTCGGGGAGCGAGTATGCTGGTAGCAGGGGACAGATACTGAGCTGATGACTGGGTCACGTCTTGTAGGGCAGGGAGAGCCCCAGCCCCAGCGAGTGGGCTTAAAGAGGGCACAGGGCAAGATGCTTTAGGGATGCCAGCGACTGCTCTGTCTTGCGGGTGAACCCCACAGTGGGTCCCTGCCCTACGAGGGCCCTAGGGACAAATCTAGGAATGGCTGATCCCCTGTGAGGCGGTACTGGAGCCACTGGATTCCAACACTAAACCAAAGCATCTTGAGGCCACTTCCTACCTCAAGGAGCACCTCCTCCTGTGACCCCCAAACTCGTGAGCATCGAAACTGTTAGACTTTTAATTCAACCAATAAGCTCTGGCTGTGCGACTCATAGCCAGTTTTACCGCGGGCCACCTATTAATTCACCTAATTGGAGGGGCTACTTTAGCCCTAACAACCATTAGCACCTCTGGAGCCCTTGTTTAAGGGTTTAATTATCTTGTCTTACTAACAGTTCTTGGATTTGCTGTGGCCCTAGGAGGGTCCAGGACAGTCCTATGCAGTCTCTGGTCTCAATCGCTTCAAGCCTCACAGCGGACTCACAAACCTGTAATTAAGGTGTCCCCTGAAATCATCAAAACTTGATTAAAGTGAAGGCTTCCGCTCAGCGGAGACCGGGCCCTGAGGGACGGCAGAAGGTGACGGCACACGTTCCCACTCAGGAGACTGCGCCCCGGCGGCCTCTGGATTCTTCATGTCCCCCTGTCTTCACGGGGCCAGGAGAGGGAAAGCCAGAGCCTCCCCTGCATTCCTGGGGACGCCCACGACCCCGGACGGTGCTGATCAAGGTGCCCTGAAGCCTTAAAGAGCATCACCCTGCCCACCACAAGCACTTCTCTCTACAAGCTGTTTCTCCAGAAACACTCCTTTCTCCGCTGTTACAGCCTTGATGTTTCATCTTGGAATTTTGCCCCCAGCCGTAGTAAGGCCCACCTGGTGCCTTCCTCTGAATCTTGGCCTCTTCTATACCCCAGCCAAGACGTGCACCTGAGCAAACATACTATCATACTCGCCCCCTTAGTGATTCCTGAATTTTCACAGAAACCCCAATTCCCCGGAATCTCGGACTGAGATTCTTCCCAAGCGCTGAGTCTTTTAGTTCTCTGCAGTCCATGCTGGCCCCTCACTAGTGGCTCTGCCCTCAGGCACCCCCTGTCCCTCTCTAGCCACTGGGCGTTTGGGAAGCTCAGGTTGGTCCCCAACAAGTACAAACCAGCAGTCACATCCCTGAGCTGCGGACACAAAGAAGCCCTGATGGCTTCTCCCACCGCCCTTTGCTTCTGTTTTCATTCAGGCCTCCCTCAGCCTCCAAGTTATTTAAAGCTCATGGCATTCAGATTCACTTTCCCTTGAGAACGACTGGGTGCCGGAAGCATCCATGTTCAGAGCCCTTCCATCCACAACCACAGTCGCATGTTTTGGCTTCAGTGCTACTTTCTGTACTTTTTTTTTTAGCATTATTGCTAATATTTTGGAGAATGTTCTCTCTCCTGAAAATAAGAGCGCAGCACATCACAATGTTTATTTGGCTCTCTACCTCGTGTTACTGTCCCACTTCCGCCCCAGAGGTGATGACTCTCTGGCCCTTAGTTCAGCACTAGTCGGACTTGCTGAACAAACACTAAGCATATGTAAAAACGTAGGTGTCCATACTGACAGCAGTGATCGTTGGAATCCAGCCCAGCCAGCCCAGAAATCTCGCACCACCTCCCAGCCCGGCAGGGAGGCCACACCCTGGGGTGCTAGCGGTTCAACGCAGGTACGGCTGGCTGGGCTTGCAAACTTTGACCTCGTGTGAGACTTGGCTGTGTCTTATGCGTGCTGTTTGAAGATCATGTAATCCGTTCACATAAAACGTGACCGCGATCTACCAGAAATACATACAAAGCATAGACAAGATGGACTTTGCTCCTATTGCTAGGACCCAGAAGGGCTTCCCTGGGGTTGGCATTTGCCAGAAGAGTGTGTTTCCAGGCCGAGGACACAGATGCACAGTGTGGGGAACGCAGAGGAGCCGACGCCCACACGGGTGGTGGGCGCTGCAGGGAGCTGGGGGTCCGGCAGAGGAGATGGGCTGGGCCGTGGAAGGCGCACGCAGCTCAGAAAGTCTGCACTCCATGCCGACAGCAGAAAGGTTTGGAAGCGGGAAGTGAGGCGTGCAACCACTTGCCCACAGAGCACGAGATGGTTGAATTTACTGAAGGAGGCAAATGGCCAGTCAGACCTGGAAATCCTCTCCCGCTGTTGCTCGGATCCACAGAAAACTGCGGCAGATCCATCAGGGTGCCCTCTCCATCCCTCTCCCCCGGGGCAGTCGTGTTCCTGGGAAGGATCGTTTGGGCAGGAAGTCAATGCGTGGAAGCAACTTCCCTTGTCAAAAAGAGGAAACTCCACCTGCCTCCCAACCCCACCCAGGGCTCATCAGTGGTATCAGAGACGAGGGCCAACAGCACCACGGCCAGACTCTGTTAGGATCACGTGTCCGTAGACTCCAGCTGTGCCCACCGGAGTCACCTGGGGGAGCTTTAGAAAACTACCGATGCCTGGTCCGTCCTGCAGAAATTTGGATCTAATAGTCTGCGTGAGATCTCAGCTTCGGCATTTTGAAATGGTCTCATCAGGTGACTGTAGCAAGCAGCCACAGCTGAGAGCCACTAGCTGGGGTCCCTGGCTCTAGGCTGGGCACATTTCCACTCAGCAAGCATCTATTAGGCATGTACTATTTATCAGATGCAGTGCTGGGCACAGAAGAAAATGCTAATAACTTACAAAAATCAAGAATGCCCCCTTTTGTGCATTAACTGCTGCATCGCATCAGGGGACACCGGGTAGTGGCAGCTTACACACTGAAATAGAATCTTCCGGCACTTGAATCACGAATGTTAAGGAAGCCGTACTCTACGTTATACGTGCAGCAGAATGCAGCAGGCGCTCATTTCTTGCCAGATGTCGGTGAGAACCGCCCCACTGCCCCGGAGGGCGGCCTCAGCACTTGACTCCCTGCTACGACTGAAAGATCCTTAAAGCCCCTTATCTCGAAAGCCACAGTTAAAATATCAGTCTTTTCGTCCTCCCCGTCACCACCCTTTGAAGCTCTCCTGCCTGCGTGTGGATTTAGGGGGACATAAAGTTGAGGCTAAACAGTCCTCAAGGGCTCTCTCAGCGGCCTGGCTCCGCAGACCCTGGGAAAGGCTGGTCATCTCGAGTCCGAGTTCCCAGAGCGGCTGAAGCCTTTTGATGTATGGCCTCTGTATCTCAACTTTTCAACTTCAGTCGGTCTGGAGCGGTCACCCGGTGACTGATGAGACCGCCGGGCCTGAGCCACCAGCAGCCACAGGTGGCTGGACACACGGCCAGGCCAGGGGTGGCACTTCCCTCAGGAACCCGTGACTCAGCCCGAGCAGGATGCAGGGTGTGGGAGGGAGCGGCCCGGGGTTCGGCAGCCTGGTCGGCCTCTAGCAGAGATTCTGAGGCTTGTATTGCCCCCGGGAAGGAAAGGCCAGGTGGGCACCTGACCCTGCGCTCTGAGCCTCTGAGCGCTGGAGGTCTCTGCATCTGCCGGAGACAGAGGAGGAGTCTGGGGTCAGAGTCACAGAGCACCATTGTTTCAGAACAATAGGAGAAAGGAGGGGAGGGGATGTGGACCAGCACTCGCTGGGGGGAGCGGAAGGCAGAGGGGGCAGAAGCAGGGCCGGGAACAGGCAGGAACTCTGCAGGCCTTCAGGGAAGGGGGGAGGGGCTGGGGAGGGGTCCCCGAGCTGTGCCCTAACCTCTGTGGGGCTTGGGGCCACTACATTCCACCCCTGGAAGGTGCGCTTGGCTTCCAGCTGGGATCCCACACTCAGGCCACGTGGTGGAACCAGTCATCTTGGAAATGCAACAAAATAGTAAACGCAAGCTCGCTCTTCCCCCTCCTCCCTTCCCTCCTCCCTTTCTCCCCTTCTTCCCCGCGCTCCGCAGCCTCCCAAGTCATATCAGATGTGGAGAAGGACTCTGCATGGGAAAGCCCTGGTGTGGGAGTCGGACTGGCCTGTGTCGCCACGCGTCCTGGGCGCTCCCTAGTCGGCCGGAGGTGGGCAGCCCCTCTAGGGCGCCTCCGAGGCCCGGGTGAGCTCCCGCTGCGCTCACGCTGCAGGGGCCGCCCAGCAGCGTCAGCCTCCTCACGCTCCCCTTTCCAGAAAGGCCTCACAGCACCCCCGACCCCGCCGGGACGCCTGCACTGGACGTCCCGCAGCCAGGAGTCTAGAGGAGGCCCCGTGATCTTTCTCAGGGGAGGATCGGCCGGGCCTGGGGTCCCGGCGGTGGGGGAGGCCTCAGGTGGGGAGGGCGGCGCCTGTCCGGCAGACGAGCACGTACAGAAGTGGCGCAGCGCTGGGCCCGCCCCAGCCCCCCGGCACCCCTTCCCCTGCACCCACCGGACCCCTCCCAGCTCCCATGGTGCCGAGGCTTTCCCTGGCCCGAGCCCGCTCTCTTGGACGCGCGCAGGAGTCGGGTCTGTGGGTAAAGCCCCACCTGCCCGGAAGACGGAGAAGACGAGGTGTATGCTCCGCGCTGCCTCGCAGACGTCCCTGGGCCCCCTGGGCCCTGCGCCCTCTTTGTCTTGCTTCCTCCCCTCCGTCCACTCCCAGCTGCGGTCTGCACCGCCTCCCGGGCACACCGCACTCGCAGCTTTGGGAGGGGACCGCAGCGGGGACGACACAGTGCCCACTGTGACTCCGTACGGGGACCAGCAACAGAACTGAGGGTACGTAAGGCCACAGTCAGCCCTCGGACGGTGACAGATTGGGGTCTGACCCGGAACAGAGCAGCCTGCTGCCGGGCAGCGCGCCCTGACCCGCACTCCCCCCTCTCCTTCCCGCGCAGCGGCAACGTGGAGCGCTCCGAGTCCCTGCACGACAACACCCTCACGCTGGCCGTGCCACTGATGCACGAGGTGGACACGTCCATCACTGGGTGAGTAGCCAGGGCGGCCGAGCGCGGGGGGCCCTCGGTGGAGCGCTGTGCCCTGCTGGCGTCTGCCTGGGCAGCCGGGCGTCGCGGCCCTGCCCGGTCCACTTCTCCCGGGCTTTGAAATGCAGGGCAAAGCCAGAGCTACCGGCTGGCGCCCTCCTCCCTCCCTGTTTTCTCCCCTCTCCCTGCCACCCACCCACCCGCTGGGTAACACAGGGAGTTTGATGACAGGGTTAAGCCCATACTTTCTCTGAGCATTGCGTACACCTTGATGTGCGCGTTTTCCCAGCACCTGCCCCTCCAGGGTGTCAAGATGCCTGGGATTCAAATCTCAGCCGAGCGGCTGGGCCAGAGGTTACAGCCAGATGTGTCCCAGCGGCTGGCTGGCTCGCACCAAGGCTCGCCTTTCTGATTAGCTTCACAGTCAGCTCCAGCTTTGCGTGTTTCTGTTAACCCCTTCGGAAACAGCGGCGCCTGTCTGCAGTGGTCTAGAACGGACAGGGGACGATTCCCGGGTACGCCATCTGCCCAGGGGGCATCCGCGGCCACTCAGCGTTGCTGGCATTGAAAGGCAGGGCTGCGGGCTGCAGGGACCCAAAGCAACCCAGGTGGTTTTCCGCCAAAGCTCAGGCCTGGCAAACTGAGAACTCAGTTCCCATTTCTGGCTTCAGGAAACAGAGCACAGTTTGATAGTGGACAAAGGATTTGCACAATGAAGAGTAGATCAAATGAGGACCCACTGAACCCCTGCCCCAAATGCAAGCTGAACTTTTTACAAGTTCAGAGTTTCTCATTTTTCACTTTTCAAGGGCTTCTGGGTCCCGGCCTTGGCCAGCAGTGGAAACGTTAATGCATTGCAGAAGGGCCACTCTGCAAGAACTCGCATGCCGCTGGGTGCCTGGAACGAGCCTCTGGGCGTGCCTGCACTCTGACCGCTGTTTGTCAAGCTTTTCAAACCCTAGGCATCAGACGAATATATTTGCAAGTTAGCATAGATTTGCCTCTGTTCTATTTTTAACTATGTGCATTTGTTTATTTGCCTCATCAGAGGCTCACTGAGAATATGGCCCGAACCAGGACCTGTCCTTGGGGAGGACAGAGAAAACACTTGATCTTGTTGTCAGACCCTAGGAGGCCTCATTGTCGAGGCGTTAACAGCCCCCATTGAAGCCATCAGTCACACACACGAGTCAACCTCTGATCTTTCCAGGAACATAAAACAAGGCGAGTTTAAAGGAATCAGTTCTTGCCATTTGATATGGCCAGAAACTCACTACATTTCTAAAATAACAGACTTAAGTTGAAAGTAGATGGATTGCTGTCCTTTCAGATTTGTACCAAAAATCCTACATTCTCGTGTCTTGGCGAGTGAGTGGCTTCTAGAATCTCATTTAGAATCCATTGTTTGTCTCGGAATTCAAGTGGGTCTGGGCTTGGTTTCAAATCAGGTTTTGTTCACAGGGGCAATGTGGAAGCATCACTACAAACTGAGCTTGGATTCTCAACCACAGGTTAAGTAGCCAGTGTTTGAAATCTGAAGAAAAATGCCATCATTGAACAGACTCACTTTTAATACCTCATTTCTAGTGGTTTAGGGAGTCTGACATTTCAGTTTTTTTAATGAATATGTCAGAGTGGGATGTAGGATGCCAGATATATAATTCATTTGTATTTATTTCTTAACAGCTTGTTGTATTCTTCCTCAACCCACAAAATGTTTTTCAAATGATAAAGCAGAACATGTATAATTTTGTGATCCAGTTTAAAAGAAAACTGAACTCAATGCTACCATGGTCATCCTCTTCCTTTTAGAAACATAATCTCGGGACTTGTTTGTATGTGTAGTGTATTGATTTCCTCTAACACAAGACATTCCTGGAAGTAACAATTCCAGAAGGGAAGGGTTTGGTGAAGACACGGAGCGGGCAGGGTTCTAGATTAAATAGAGACAGAGGTTTGGGTTCTCAGGAGAGCTGTGACTGTGGGTTGCTTGACTGAGGCTTAAGATGACGGATTAAATGCTTCCCTCTTTCAGAATCATGTCTCCAACGTCCTTTGTGTACGGCGACTCCGTGGATGCGTCTAACTTCATTCAGCTGGATGACATGGAGTGTCACTTTCAGCCCCTCAACATCACCCTTCAGGTACCACCTCTGGAGACCGTCTCTGTCAGTGGCGGCCCACGAGATGGGTCTCCTACTGAAAAACAGCTAAAGAACTAGGCTCTTTCCAGGAGAAAATTGTCCCAGCCTGCTTGGCTAGAGTCGGGTGTGTGTGTGCCTCTGTGTGTGTGTGTGTGTGTGTGTGTGTGTGTGTATTTCCTGTAACCACACAGAATCAATCCCTTTCCTGTCTGCTGTGTAGACCCCTCTGCTTTTCAACACTTGGAAGGAAAACTGCATGATAAACACCAGCTTTCCCCAAGAAAGCCGGCGTCCCAACCCAAATGGCCCCAGAGGGTCCCTTCGAGTTCTCCATCATTACTCAGCTTCTGGGCAGGGCAGCCACGTGCATTTGCTGCGTCCCCTTTTTCCTGGGCTTCTTCTTGCTGACGCGGCCTGGGGCCCACTCCTCCCACGAGGAACAGCCACTTGGAAGTGCTGTCTTCCAATAGCAGAGCGGTGCAGGAGCACTAAGCTCCCCTGGGAGGCAGCCCGCTGCTCCCTCGCGCCCCCCCAGTCATAGAAGCCCAGCAGGTCCCGTGGTGTGGACCATGGATGTCGGAAGGAACACTATTTTTTCTCTAGACCAGGGTGAGCAGACATTCTCTGCAGAGGGCCAGCAGGCAAGGGTGTTAGGGTTTGTGGGGTGCAGTGTCTGGAGCCAGTGTCCAGCTAAGCCACTGTAGTGTCCACGTGCCCATGTGGACGGTATGTGGCAGAACCGTAGTTATGGCACTGAGGCTTGGCTTTGTATTATCTTCTTACGTCGTGAAATGTTATATATGTATATAAATGTTATAAATATATATATATTTTCCCAATTATTTTAAAATGTAAAACCATTCTTAGCTCGCAGGTCATGCCAAAAACAGGCGACAGGCAAATTTGGCCTACAGGCCACAGTTTGGTGACCCTTGCTGTGAAGTATCGATTTTCGGGCCAGCACTGTTCACACAAGCATCTTTGCATATTAAGCCAGAGGGACCTCGGCCTCATCCAGCCTGTTCTCCTCAGTTGGCAAACGCTGGCCGGGCTCCGACTGGACAGGCCTGCGTGGCCAAGCACCCAACCAGGAGCCGCGGATGAAGTGAAGGGAGATGAACTTGGCTCACCCATGGTGCCCGTGGGGCACTGTAACCTATCCCCCACATCCCGCCATTCTGGCTCCTCGAGCTATCTCTGGTCTCTACCCATTCCTCCCCATGGAGAAGATGGTTTTCTGGTCTGGCATCGACTACCATGACCAGTAATTACTATTTCCTCCCCCGTGGCCACTCCTCAGTGGTCTGAAGGGATGAGAAATAATCATGGGGTGTGGGTCCAGAGAACGAGGTGGCGAAACACTTGTGGGCTCTCACAGACAATGCTCTTCCTCTCTCTAAAGTGTTGTCCTGGGCAAGAGACCTCTGAGACCATGATGGAGGACACATGTCCCCAGCCCAGAGAGGAGGTGCCTCCCAACCAGCAAAGCCCCTACTGCCACACCCCATGCTTCGTTTCCGGGGAAAAGGAGACGAGGGTGTTAGACCTGCTTTTTAGATCTCACAGTGATTGCTGTGACTAGGACCTCTGTGTTTCTGAATTGCTTCTCAGAATTAGTTTCTTTTTCTCCATTGCTTTTTGTAATTGGATAGAAAACAGATAAAGACCAGATGGAGTGATTTCATTTTACTTAAATCACTTGAATAACTCACCCACTCTCAGAGTTTGGAGGTGTCTTCCAACATAAGATATAGTCCAGAAGATGATTCAGAAGTTCAAATGACACACACCATCCATGAAGAGGGTATTGGCGTTAGAAGAGAAACCAGGAAGGAATCGGAGTTATACTGAAGATCCAGAAATCTTCTTGTCCCCCTCTAAAATGGAAGAAAAAAGCATCAACGGATCTGAGGGCATGCAGTTAGGTCATGTTTCTCTGAAGGCATCTTCACAGGGAGCTTAAAGTTTGGTATTCAAGCAAAAAGCTGTCTTCACATCCGATCTGACATAGGACACAGGCAGAGAATGGGGGCCTGGCATTAGGACCGGGCATGCCCCTTAGATAAATCTCTTGATTATCAGTTGCCTGAGGAAGTACAGAGCATTCCGTTCAGGATTACAAGAGGTGACTGGGTCTGAAAGATGGATAGTGTGTGTCACTGATTAGGAGATTCTTTTGTGTCAGCAAAGCTGACCGTTTCCTTGAGAATCTCTGATGACTCATTTTCTGCTATAAACATCACTAATACACGACTGAAATGTAGGAAGGCCCCTGACCAGGTTGATGGTCATAATGAACAAGAGCTGGAGCTAGTGGGGAGGGTAAGATCAGGAATATGGATAAATCTGTTCTATATTTCCTTATCCTGGCAGCATCACTCCTGAGGAAGGGCATAAGACTTTCCGTAGCGAGTGGTCTTTCTGTCTTTTAAAAGCTATTATTCAACAAGCTACTAATTGTTTAAAGACTTCACTGCAGAAGCAGATAGGAGACAGGCAGAAATACTAGTCTTGGGCCTGCTTTCTGCATTCCGCCAAAGTCTTCTTAACAGAAACACAATAATCTGCTGGCCACTGATAGGCTGGGTTCTTTCCATCAAGAGTTCATCAGTTTTCTCACCTGAAAAATAATGGTGGGAACGAATGCAGCTGCTGCACGAGAACTTGGCACTGAAGCCAGTCTTAGGACGGGCGCTCTCAGCCGTCCTTCGGGAGTGGGTGAAACGGTGCAGAGCAAAACCACATTCTTCTCTCCTCCCCCACCTCGTGCTCTCATTGGGATTTCCCAGACAAGTCAATAGTTGTCTTTTCAGTTCTGTGCTCTCGTGTTTCACTTCAAATCCGTTATTTCGTTTGTGGTTACACATCCCTTCCTTTTCTTGTGTCTTGAGGCTGTTGTCCTTGGTAAATGTTGTTCTTTTTGAATCAAGAGTTGGCAGGGAGTGCTCCTCTGCTCCGTCGTGTCTTTGTGCTTTGAAGCAGAACCAACTTTTTTTCTTTTTTGCAACTATTGCAAAAAAAAAATGAGCACATGGTTTTCTAGGGAAAAGCTGGCTACGCTAGATCCTTATACGTCCTGTCGTGTGTGAGGAGCTGGCTAGCTTTGCCTTTCCCTCCCAGCTCTGCCCTTCTGACCCGACTTCAGAGATGCCTTGAATCCCTGATATCTGTCTCTAGTCCCCAGGCCACAGAGCAGCATTTAAGCTTCTTCTCTGTCTTGATTCTACCCATGTTTTTTAAAGCAATAACATCTTTATTGGAATATCATTTTTCGAACTGATGTTCACCCGTTTAAAGTATACAGGTTACTGATTTTTAGTGTGTTTCCAGAATTGTGTAACCATCACCATAACCTCATTTTAGAACATTTTCATCTCCCCAAAAAGGGACCCCATACTCGTGAGCAGCCTCTCCCTGTGTTAGTTTTTTCTATGGCAGCTATAAGAAATTACCACAAACTCAGTGGCTGAAAACAACATAAATTTACTGCCGTATAGTTCTAGAGGTCAGAAGTTCAAAATGGGTCTCACTGGGCAAAAATCAAGGTATCTGCAGGGCTCTGTTCCTTTCTGAAGCCACCAGGGAGAATCTGTTTTACCTTTTGCAGCTTCTCCAGGCTGCTGCATCCTTTGACCCATGGTCATCTTCGTCTTTGAAGCCAGTGATGGCCAGCCAAGTCTCTCACAGTCCCCTCCCCGATTCTAACGGTCTCCCTCTTCCCTGAATAAGTACCCTTGTGGTTACATTACACCCACCTGAATAGTCCAACGTAATCTCTTCATTTTAAGGGACACTGATTAGCAACCTTAGATCCCCCTTCTCATATAGCGTGTTCACGATTTGGTTCCATGGATTTGGGGACAGGGACATCTCTGAAGGCCATTCCCCTACCCCGGCCCCAGGCAGCCACTAATCTACCTGTGGTCTGTACTCAGCTATCCATCTTTTCTATTCTCCTTCATATTCCATTTTTTCCCTGATTTTCATTCTCAGCCTTTCCTCCATCTTCTTTCCCTTATCTGTCTCTTTGTGGCCACCATCTTTCCTCTCATTTCTTAGGACATGATGTACTACTGGAGACAAAACAGAGAGGGCTGTCGGGGGATGAGTTTTACAGGACCAGATGCTGGGGCAGGAAACAGGGACATAGGTGTCCTCAAACAGTATTAGCAAGAGATTAGCTGTAAGCTACAGAGAAACCTATCAGCTGGGTGGCGTGGTAAGAGCAGCCCTTTCTGTAAGTGACATCATTTGGTTTGGGGGAAAATCCACTCCTCTGTTACCTCAAACTGTAAAAGCAGGGCTTGGACCAGATCATTGCTTCTGAAAATACAGCCAGTAGCATCAGCATCCTCTGGGAACTTACTAGAAATGAACATCCGTAAACCCCCTCACCAGCCCCCTCCCCCAGCAGATCTACTTCAGAAACTCTGGGCACTACTCTCCCCCAGTGTATGTTTTAACAAGCCCATCTGATTATCCTGCTGTGCGCTACAGTTTGAGAACCACTGGACTAGACTATGTTTACATTCCCACCAACTGTAAGAGCCTATGAGTAATCCCTAGGGGTGTAAAACGAAAGATAATTTTTAGCAGGAAGAAGACAAAAACATGCTGAAAGGGAATAAGGTAATTTGGAAGTTTGAGGGTTCAGAATGCATATTAGGAAGATTTCTGTTTCACTAAAACCTGCCATTGTTGAGTATCTCAGGACACTTGAAGTCCTGACCTTCTGGATCCCAAACCCTACAGTCTCTGTGGGCATATCCATTGCATGCCATGAAATGAAGATCTGTACTTCTATTAAAACTCGCTGTGTGTGTCTCACACCCACAGGTCTATAATACTGGGCCAAGCACCCTCCCTGGTCCATCTGTCAGTGTCGCTTTTCCCAATCGACTGTCATCTGGAGGCGCAGAAATATTTCACGTCCAGGAGATGGTGGTGAGTTCTCCCTGCTTGTAACGGTTGCCTTCACACTTGAACTAGCCTGTTCACATTTTGCCTTTTACCCTGAGGACCCAGAAAGTTTAACTCATTCCAACCTTTAGAAGCATAACCTGGAGAAGCCAGGGACCCTCGAGGCCTGAATTTCTGCATTGAGACAGTTTGGTTAATGCCAGAAGACCTCTCTGGGGATGGGGAATGGTTGATGATGAACTTGACTTCTGTGATAGACTTTTCTGGTTCTGGGAACTCCCAGAAACCTTAGGTGTATCTAAGGTTGCGTTTTTCTGAGGGGAATATCCTCAAATCTTCATGAAGATTCTCAAAGGGTCACTGAAGCCTGGGGGGATGGAGGGTTCGTTTATAAGACCGAAGTGTAGATTGAAACTCAAGTTTATATACAGAATATGCAATTCTACTTGATTCTAAGTCAACTGTGGATTTTATCTCAAGGGAAGTGTGACAGTGAGTATGTGATCATCCCTCCTACCTCCTTGAAACTCTCTCCTTGGTTCCTCCTTTCTCACTGGCTTCTCTCCTCACCTCAGCATGTGTAGGGCTCAGGGTCAATCTCAGAGACCTCACCCAGACTCATGGCTTTGTATTCCGTGTGTGCTGATGACATCAGACATTTCTCTCCAGCCCAGACTTCTCCCATGAAATGCAGACCCTAATAGTTAACTGCCTTCAGGCCATCTCTACCCAGATGCCTGACAGAAACTCCACAACCGAGCTCCCACCTTCTCCCACAGCCTTCCCCATCTTCGCAAATGGCTGTTCAGTCTCCCAGTTTTTCAGGTCAAAGACCTTGGATCATCCTTGACGCTGCTCTCCCCACACTTCACTTTCGATCCACCAGCGACCCTAATGCCTCCGCCGTCACAACAGATCAAAATGGTACCACGTTTTATACCCGCACCGCCCACACCCCGCTCCCGGCAACATCCTCTGTCTTTGGTTCCCGCAGCAGCCCTCACCCACATCCCTGCTTCCTTCCTGGCCCCCTTGCGGTCTGCTCCTGGCCCAGCAGCAGAGCGAGCCTTCCAAAATGTAGGTGAGGTCACATTAGGCCTCAGTTGAGACCCTCTGATGGCTTACCCACCCCCAGATCTTCCAGCACTCTGGCCGGCCCACAGTCTGTCTCCTATGGCTCTCCGACCTCACTTCCTCCTCCTTTACCGCTCTCTCTACTCCAGCCGCACTGTCCCTTGCTGGTCCTAGAGTACAGCAGACACTTTCCCACCTCTAGAACTCGCCCTTGACCTTTCCTCTACCCACATAGCCTTCCCGCAGGGAGCCACATGACCGCCAGCTCACCTCCCTCAGCTGTGTGCTCAAATGCCACCGTCCCAGGGACGCCCTCCCTGAACGGCCTTGGGCCCAGCGCTCCTCAGGCCGCGTCCCTGCTCATGCTTCGTTGGCACCTTCATCACCAGCTGACATTCCACGTATTCTCATGTTTGACCAGTTTATCTGTCCCCTCCTGGCCCCCGACCATGTAAGAACAAGGGTTTTCTCTGCTCCTGCTATGTCTCCAGACCCTAGTACAATGCTTGGCGTGTAACATACACTCAATAAATACTTGTGGGCTAAAAGAAAAAATCCACAGTATAAAGCAGAGTTGTTGAGTCTGTCTGCATGAATCCAGGAAGAGAGCCATTCTGTTAGGAGCTGCTTCCCAGGGCCTCACAGCCTGCGGTGGCTGGGTGTGAGGGGCCCCTCCCGGGAAGAACCAGGGCAGGATGTTCAAGTGAGGCAGGTGTGCCATCACATGGAGAGAGTCACAGAATCGTGGCTCTTCATATGGGCGTGTGAGGGACGGCCAGCCAGAGGGACAGTCTCCCCACTGATCGCTCGAAAATTGGGGCAGCAAGACCCACTGCACGTCACACATCTGAGCCTACGGTTGGAGGAGACGCCGCCCGCCAGAGGTGGGGGAGCCTCATGGGATGGCCCGGTGGCGTCTGGCATCGCTGTCCCCTTGGGTCCTGTGGCCTGAAACCCTGGACTGTGTAAAGTGTCGGGTGTAGAACAGGTCACACACACACACACACACACACACTGAGCTGCCACTCAGTCATTTCCATCCCGCTCGATATTCCCCTAGCGTTCCGTGAGGTGCCCGAGGCTGTGAGCTCTGCTCACACGGGAGAAGAAAAGCCCCTGAGTCCTTACAAGCCACGCACCACAGCTTGAGCTCAGCAGAGGGTCACGTGTGCTCTCGTTTCCCCCTTAATATTATTCATGACACCAACCGCTCCACCTGTCCCCAGGGTCCGGGAGCGTTTTCCTCTTCCGCACGCTCTGAGAGTTGTCCGCGTGGACATCTGTAGTGTTGCAGGGAGAGCTCTGGTCTCCATAGACAGAATTGTTTATTGACCTGGACAGGAAAGTTAAGCCCCTCAGATTCTGAGGGGATCTCAGAACCAACGACACCCCCTCTCTCTTTACTACTCATCGGACTGAGGAAAAGCCACAGAAAGGACTTTGGAACTCTTTTATGAAGAACTGGCCAGCCGGGAAGCGTCAGAGGTGGTGTGGAGACCTGCCGAGCCGCAGGACAGTAGCGGAGCTGAGTGGGGTGGGGTGAAGCCCGGGTGGGGTGAGCTGCCTCAGCCATCCGTGCGAGTCCTCAGAAGCAAGCCCTCTGGGTTTTCAGGACTGTGCTTAGAATTTTCACAGAGTCCGTAATGGAACCCTCAAGGATGGCCAAGCCTTCAGGGGGACGCACCAACCCACGGTCAGAGCCTTATGGCATTTTCCTGGGGTGCAAAACCCAGCTCCCCGGCCAAGCTCGCTAAGCAGGTGGTGAAGCTCAGCGTTCCCGGGAGCCAGTGACTGCATTACGATGACCCTGGAAACAAAGCCGATGCATGATGTGATGACGTGAGGGGGCAAGGGTCTCCAGGTGCTTGTTTCAGAGGCCGGAAGGTAGGACACCGTCTGCCCTAAAGCCCACAGGGCTGAGAACAAAGGCATCCTCTTCTCAGACAAGCCCAGCATGTCCCCAGCCTCGGCCCCCCCCCTTCCTCAGCGGAGCCCGAGAATGCTCCCTGGGGCGGGGGTGGCTCGTAAAGCTCGTGGCCTGCTCCGTGATGGCCCCCTGGGGCTTCGAGTGGGGCAGGGCTTTCATTTGGGAGCCCTGGGTGGCGTGGTACAAGTGGAACTTATCCGTTTGGGGAGAAACCAGCCCTCGTTTCCCGTATGGCACCAGCAGATGACTCTACTGCCTGGTGGCCTTCTGCCCCCAGTCCACGTCCCTTCCCAGACGTGGACAGCTGAGCAGCTGGCCACCAGCGCGGATTAAGCCAACAGGGGTAGATCGCAGGCATCAAGAGAGGGCCCTCTGTCATCCGTCCCCACACCCCAGGGGGCCCTCAGATGGCTTCTAACAGGTCCCTCAGTATGTGTTTTGCCTGTGGTCGTCATCCGTATAGAATGCTAAGAGTGGGCATGCCGTCCCCTTAGGCGCCGGGCCATCACCCCAGCTACGGCGCTGAGCCTGTGGCAGAGTTTTCCAACTGTTGGAAAACAGGAGCGCTGGAGTGGCTTGGTTGGTTAAGCATCTGACTCTTGATTTGGGCTCAGGTCATGATCTCACAGTCGTGAGTTTGAGCCCCACATATGGGCTCTGTGCTGGGGGTGGAGGCTGCTTAAGTTTCTCTGTTCCTTTCCCTCTGCCCCTCCCCTGCTCACTCTCTCAAAATACATAAACAAACATTAAAACATAATAATGATTCCGGGGCATCTGGGTGACTCGGTTAAGCACCCAACTCTTGATTTCAGCTCATGTTGAGATTCCAGAGTTGTGAGAATGAACCCTGTGTCAGGTGCCACACCGAGCATAGAGCCTGCTTGAGATTCTCTCTCTCTCTCTCTCTCTCTCTCTCTCTCTCTCTCTCCTCCTCCTCCCCCCCACTCACACATGCACACTCTCTCATTCATCAATCAACCAATCAATCTCACTGCAAACGATAAATCACTCTGGGCTTCTCCTGCAAACGTTGGCAGAAAGCGCACCTGTTGTGTGCCAGGCTCTGATCGGAGGAGTGAGTCACACAGCACTCCCAGAAACTCAGTCCTGCTGGAGACTGACCCAGGAAATGTCACCGCAGTACCATGTAACGGATGCAGTCACGGAGGCGTGCCCAGCCCCGGGGACATGGTACCGAGGTACAGATTCCACCGTGGGAAGGGCACCGGGACTAAGTGGACGCGTAGTAGTTCAGCAGGAGAACACGTGAAGTGGAGAACTTTCTGGACAGAGGGAAGGGCCCCTAGTTGTAAGTGCAGCATGGAGGCCGTATTGGATTCTCTGTCCTCTGTGCCTAGCTCTTGCACAAAATAAGCAAAGGTGGCTGTTCTCTACACCTTCTCCAGAGTGTACTGCTGACAGATATCGGGGCGGGGTGGCAGGAGTCACTTCCTGTGGCAGTTGGTTAGCTCATCACCTTCTGGGGTGCATCAGTTCTGTGCTCCGGTGGATCCGCTTGCTCGTTTCTCCTGACTTCGGAATGCGGAAGGCCGAGCCACCTGCTACCAGAGGCTGTCAAGCCACACGTCATGGATATTGCCGGTAGATGACCTATGGGCAGTGGCCTCCGTGGGACAGACAGCCCTTGTGAGTCAAGCATTTGCTCTGTAGAGGAAGCTCCTGCTTGAAGTGAGGATACAGCCTCTCATCCAGCTTGATGGGAATTGGCCTGGAAAATGTAACGGCTTCACTTTGTTACAGTCTCTCTGCACAGGCGAGCCTTGAGCAGAGCCCGTGGGCATGGGCCTCAGAGGAGCGAGGTTAGCACGTGGGTCACAAGCATTATGGCTTATGAAGGGGAGACCATTCGAACGTGGGCGGTGGTCCCACTCTGCAGTTAAGTTTTACTCACAACGTGTGACGTTCAAGGGCAGGGAGGGGAGGTTTGTCTCAGGACTCAGGCTTTATTTGCTGACACTGAAAACCTATCTGTGGGCAGCTTTCTGGTGCTGGAAGAGGAGGA